TTATGTAGAGAGAGAGGACGTCAATCCATTTAATATTATGTCAGAAGAATTCTTTGGATATATTCTTGCTGTGACATATTTCGATTTTAATTGATTATTCTAATTTTTATATTTATTCTTAAATCTTGCATTAATAATACTTATAATTTATTAATGTGTAAAGTTTTTTTTAGAGATAATAATAATAATTATTATGCTATTATACGTAATAGTTATATCATCTAATAAATTTATCTTTTTTTTATATAAAGTATTAAATTACGCAATTGCTAATAATATTTTAGTAACATTTGGCAGAAGTTTATATAGTACTTAGCGCATAGTTATGCAGCGGACGTTAACCTGGTCATATCTGACTCTCATCTCTTCAACTGCATTACAACAATCGTGCATACTCGACTCAACAGAGCTGCATTATCCTCTCGGGGATCACGGAATACACGAATAGCCTTCATATTTTGGTGACGGCGATTTTACCGTTAGGAACGATCAACATGAACGGCTCTCTTGGAGGTTGTTTTGTCTCTTCCTATAGTAAGACATTTTCCTTTCGTATCTTGTATCAATTGCCGCTCGTGTAGATTTGATTTATAAAAAGCAAGAACATATATATATATATATATATATATATATATATATATATATATATAGCTATAATACACAAGTGTATATACAAAAAGGATATAATTTACATATAATTTTTTCTTAATGGGAATGATACACATTTCCATTGAAAATGTTATATGCTTATTTTTCTTTTGCAGTGCATAAAATCGTTATACTTCATGATTTTAATAAGTCAACAATTTATAGTTGTTTGATTCAATATTCTTTAATAACGCATTTATTTGAAATTAGTTCTTTGTGTTCAGAACATTGAAGTTCAGAAAACCAAATTTATTTACAATAAATTTACACTGTAAAGTAATATTTAGAAACACGATTGCGATTATTCTCTACAATTATAATTATCAACGATTCGTTATTTAATAACACCCGTGATTAAATGGTTTCAAGCAATAGGCATTTATCAAAGCATATTAAGGTTCAGTTTCACAAACGTTGGTTAACTTTTAACCTCGGGTTATCTCACTTTTCGTCTCTTTCTAAAGGGGACGTTAAAAAGAGTCAAAGAGTGAGTTAACGTGGGGTTAAAAGTTAACCGACGTTTGTGGAACTGGGCTTAAATTGTTTGATTAATGGTTAAAGCATAGGCATATTAATCTTTCGCGCGATTAACTTACGTAAGCAGGAATTCGAGCGATAAAGTATTAATAAATTGTTATTCTATTATATGATAATTAAAGACGACATTTATTTCTCTAACAATATTTGCATTTGAATTATATTTTATATTTTGTTTTAATTGCAAATCAAGTGTAATTTACCCACTAATTTCAGATTAAAGGCATAAAGTAATATACGAAACGAGTTCAAGAAACATTTGATGATAGTTAATTTATCAAAATTTCTTTGAAAAGCAAAGAGAGAATATTTGGCATTTATTTTATAGACCGTTAAATATTTCCTGAAAATGATAACTTGGTTGTAGAGCACGTGATCTTGGCGTCTCTGTTTATGCGGCTTACAACACGCGGTGTCTACGCTAATTGTAAGTCGCCACGCTATTATATGTACGACACCATTAAAACGAGCAGACAGTAGCGCAAACCGCTCTATACTGTACTTCGCATTACCTCTACATTCTCTATGAACAATTACGTTACTAGCAGCACCTCGCGATTAATCAATTGTTATATCTAATTATTTATTTATAAGTGTATCGAGGTAACGTTTATTTTTCAAAGTAGGTATTTCGATATTGATCGCAATTATGAGGTACATCGGTCATTCATTAATCTTCTGTTCGTTTGAGGTTCATCCCTTGGGCGTAAATAGAATCATAATTCGTGGCGAATTATACATAGTTTGACACTTTTTGCTTTTATTGCAAAATTGCATGCGACTATTATCGGAAGTGCCGTGCAATCGTAATTAATCGTGTTTTCACAAATATGCAACGAAAAAATTCGAATATCTAAATATTTTTCCAGAAATGAATATTATATAAAAAAAATGCAAAAAACAATTAAGATTACTTTTAAATTTTTAATGTATAAGTTTAGATAAAGAAAAATACAACATATTTTACAGTCACACATAATACATAACGTTAAATTAATATATTTAATAAGAATGCGCTGATACCCCCTTATTAGTTGTATTTAATTTTATATCTTTTGCATTAATTTTACTTTAATCTTTCATAGTCTCTTCATTCATATTTAATGATAACTTTATTATTTAAAATGCAAAATGAAAAAATTCTTTATATAAATTATTCCAGAGTTAATCACATATCAATTATATTAAAATACTTAATAAAATATACTTAATAAAATATAAAAACGTGTATATATCGCGAGAATATACATATAAAATTCATACTAACAGTAATATAGTTTTTATTGCATGAAAAGTCTGTCATTTATTTTGGATTCATTTTTCGTCGATCGTTATCAATTTTGGCATAGTGAATTTTAAACACTATGAACAATTAAGCGCTTTGTTTTATTATCTCGCAATTATCCTTTGCGAATAACTGATCTCACGATAAATGATTTGTAAGCGTATCGAAGTGATGGTGGTTTGTCGAAAGATATACTTTGTGTGATTTTTTCGTTTAAAGTAAAAGTCGGAGTAATATCGTATGGAAATAAAAATTCGTTGTTTCTCTACGAGGAATGGAACATTCGAAACTATTTTATTATTCGTTAAATATTTCAGAAATCGCCGCATTACCATACTCACACACCGCTACTTGAACAAGCAAGTAGCAGGTCGACCGTATATTATCGTATTATTTTTCGAAACCTGATTATATCTCATAATTACAATAAGCAATGTATTTATTGTGTTTTAACTACATTTGATTTGGGGAATATTGTGTTCGATTAACATAATGTACCTTATTTTCATCCTTTTGTATTAAATGAGTGTGTCGGACTTGGTAATATAATCTCAAAGTAGGAGGAAAAGGAAAAGAAAAAAGAAAAAAAATTAGAAGTAAATAAAATCATGTATTATATGCATTATATTGAAAGTATATAATATTCTTATAAATATTTTATTTTTATAATAGACCGTTGAAATTAATTAGAAAAATAAAAATATTCTACGTGTACTTATTGTATACTTTCGGGTCGGCAACGTATTCGTTGGCTGTGGCGATTATTTTTGTGACATACAACACGCTTTGTTGACCCGAGGCCATTGCGCTGTCATTCGCACGACGAGTCTCGAGCCAACAGGTAGTGACAAGCTCCATATTTTGTCTTATTACTACGCGATACACGATCGCGACAAGTATTAAATAACGTCAGACGTGATTATTCTCAATGAGCAATTAACAATCAGCTCTCGATTGACTGATCAACTTTCTCGATTAATAATATCGTAAAAGTATCTAGATGATAGCTTTAATTAAATAAATATTTGCATTATTTATTCTTTCCGATATTGAAACAAAAGGAAACGAGAATTATTGATTATTGTTTCATGGTACTTTTAGAGATAATAATTATTCCATTAATGTGATTCCTAAATTCAAATATTTCTTACATTGCATTTAAAAGTTGTTGTTGATTTAAATATCATTTTGTCTATTAATTTAAATATTAATGCCTATTATTTTTAGATTGAACAATCAAAATTGTTCGATTTTAATAAATCAGAGAAGAAAAGAAGTCGTCACATTTCTAACGATTATTAAATTCCATTCTTTATATTTATTAAGAACACAAGAAAGTTGAACTTAGTAGTTACCTAATTTCCTTGTTTTCGCGAAAAATTAACATAAAATTATAACTACATAAATATACATTTTATGTTTTACTACATATACAAAAGACTTTGTTTTTTTTTTTAATAAATATAAAATTTAATGTGTGATAATAGTCTATGAAGTTGAAGTTTGAAGCGGTCTTGGAGCGAAAATTAAAATGCGTTTTCTTCCAAAAAATACAAGTGCGAGGACAATATTTAATATTTTACATTGTATATCGAATAATAGCTTGTAATCGACTGTCCTACAATAGTACTGAAATAACACTTTATTTTACTTTTGAACGCTGATAGTGTCTAAACGGTTCATTATTGTGAACCTTGCCCATTGTGACTTTTGATCAGCATTAGATAAACTATTTATTTCCGAAGTTTCAGCCAATTTCACTGAAATCAAATTTTCATAAGAGTTGTGCGGGGTTCTTTGGTGTCTTTTGAAATGTGGATAAACCAAGACAGAGTAGTAATGTTTAATTCTGAAATAATTATTATCCGTTAATTTATTGTATGTGCATACAAGGCTGCATAAAATAGAGGGAGCTATGAAATAGAGTCAATTAAAATTGATACATCATTGTTCACTTAGATCATTATTGAACCTTTACATGTAACAGAACTTTATTAAGCGATAGAATAAATTATGTATTTTAGAAATACATAAATTACTTAAAATTTATAAAAACAACTTTGATTTTAAGATATAGAAATAAAGGCACATAACAGAGTGATTGCGAGCAAATACTTCATTCCTTCTATTTTTTTCTGACTTCTGCAACGTAAATCTCTGCGCGGCGTAAATACCGGAGTTACCATATAGCACAATTCTTGCGTATTTTTACTACTATTAGTCCTATCTGTCTTACTCTAGTGTACAACCTAAAGGTACACGAATGTGATATATATATATATATACCTTACTCTTGAACTCTCTAAATCTGAATCAATGAAAAGTTACTGGAGTGGCGCAGTGACTATTTACTAATATTAGTCTAAAGTCTGTCTTTCTAATGACTTTTCACTGATTCAGATTTAGAGAGAAGGAAAAAACTGCTTTTGCATGTTTAATAATACATGCAAATACAAATAATACATGATTTAATTTTATGTGATGATTATTTGGCAATAATTGCTAGAAAAGTGTATTTTATCTTTTACAGGCTATTTCGTACTTACCGAAGAACACGGAAGCCCAATCGTCGCCGATTGTATAAGTGGTTTGTCGCGTCGCATTTACGAAAGTGCCGTTTGAAGCCGTCGCATTTTCGGGTACGCCAATTAAAACTGTTGTATTTCGGGAGTGCCGTTTTAAGTCATCGAATTTTTGGGTAAAACAATCAAAATCGTCGCATTTACTGGAGTGCCGCTCGAAGTCGTCGCATTTTCGAGAACGCCGTTCAAAGTCGTCGGATTATCCGGAATACCGTCTCGCGATTTTAATAAATAGCATATAACTGCGTCAATTTCCACGTTCTCAGACGTTCACGACTGTCTCGTGCGTGGTCCTTGAGCGGAAAGGTGCCGGGATCGCATAA